CTTTTACCTCTCACAACAATTTCATTTGATGAAAGAAAATGTTGTATGCTTTTCTAAAACACACTGTCTGCACTTTTAGAGCTTCTACAGCTATGCAAAAATACATTAGAATTTAAAATTGATCCTTAGCTAAGTCACAATTATCATACAGTTGTTACAATAAGCATTAGTTTGACAGCTATGCAAAAATACAAATTAAAAAAATCATAACTGTTCACCATAAAAGTTTGTCTCTCGCTTATGTAACTTGGCATATGAACTATCACTGTAAACTCTTTGTATTAGATTAGCTGCTATAAACATAGGCCACACTAACCAAACGTCAGTGTTATCTACTGTAACAAGCCATCTTAAATCAAATTATATAAAAATCCGTATGTTTGGGTAGGGCAGAGATGGGCAAAGACTACCAGGCATGAATAATCATCAGAGACCAGCACAGTCACCATAAAATTTAAAACAACAAAATAATTGTGACTGACACTCAATCACATATAGCAGAAGATGTGGGTCTTAGGGCTGTGGTAAAAAACAAGTAAAAACAGTGAGCTCCCTCCCCTAGCAAAAATCCTTCTCTGAATGAAACTCTAGAAATATCCACAATTCAGACATATACTCAACCAGAAACCTCATCCATTATCACCTATCTTCATTTCTCTTCCCAAGCAATTATGATGGTATCATCTTAAACTACACATTTGCCAGTTTTCTGAAGACCACATTTTTCTCATGCAAGTAGCAAGCAAGCACGACCTAAGTTATCTGCTGTCCCATACAAGCTTTAGATTCTGTCACAAAAAGACAGGGTTTCAGCACAGAAGTAAGGTTTTTTAACAGCTACAGAAAGAGGCCAAAAGCAGCGGTGTGCCCATACGACCATCAGAAGTTCCTTCAAGATGCTGACAGCCTATGCAAGAAGCTGGGGCAGGAGGAGAAGGGGAAGGGGGACAACAGGAGCAGCTCTTTCGCCCCCCTGCTATAAGCCTGCCACCCCTGCATTGTTCAAGCACACTCTTGAGCAGAAGCCATCTCTGTTCAGTTAACGCAGTGATTCAAGTGATTTCATCAGCTCCCGTCCTGTTTCACCATCTTCTCCCATTCCATGGGAAAAGTTATGTCACAGCAGGCCTGGTAGCAATGTCCTTATAATACTTCACCACACGTTTCCTTTAAGTCAATAGGAATAGTGCCATTGCACAGACAAAACAGTGCCTGCAAGAAATAAGGAGCAGGATAAAAACCAGATGGCTGAAGTTAAGCGCAGGAAGACAGGAGCAATGCTTGTAGGGAGGAGAAATCATTTTGACGAGCTGAGACTGTGAACATGACTCTCCGTACAAAGGGAACACAGCCTGCCACGACACAGCCTGCAACAGCATAAATACGAAATGAAATTTGAATGAAATATTGTTATCTCTATCACCTAAAGGCTGAATTCTTTTCAAGCAAGCACCAGATGAACACGACACACATTTTTTTAATTTAACATCAGGCTAATGCAGCTTCGGCTGTTTAGATGACTACCTGTCAACCACAATCAAAAACACCATTTTGAAAAATGTGAAGTGATCTGTAACACAAGTGGAGAACACTGACAGCGTATTCCCTTACTGTACAGCTATACCTCCATGGTTTGCTTCCAGGCTGGTACAAGCCTTGGCAGTGATAGGCATGACTCTTATGTCTCAATTTCCCAGCAACTGGCTCCCAGTCCATACAAAGACAAACTGTTATCAGTGACAAAGGAACCAGAAACACCTATACAAGCCCAGACTGCATTTAACATGAAGCCAGTACAGGAGAACTAACTACAAGCACAAAATAGGACTCATAATATTTTCCCCGTCCTTGCTACAGTTAAAAAAGAAAAAAAAAAAGTTAAAAACTTTTCAGTCAACACATTTAAAATGCATCATTCACTGCCATCTACACAGCCTCCAGATAAAACTTTTAAGAAGTGATAGCTAGGTCTTCTTGATGTTGCTTCTTAAAGTATAGCATAAATATTATCACGTCAAGAATGGATTCAGTAATATTAATTTGATTTTTTTGATTAACAATTTGATTGGTAAAAGTAGCAGGCAATGATCCAATGAGTTTCCGCACAGTACTTGTCTTGGGACTGTTCTTCACGCCGTTTCAATTAAGGAATTCCCAAAATATACAATTAATACTGTATTAATATAGCAGCTATTAGAAAGATTAAAGTCAAGTTTTGAAACCAGGGGATTTTTTTTTTCAATAATCATCAAGCAGTTGTGTTTCTTCTAAGATCCCAGAGGGACCCACTCTTGCTCCTGTACTACATATTCCTAAATACCCTGGAAAATCCAAACCTTCCTCATGGAACAGATGGCACGATCCTCAATAGACTACAGAAAGGACGTGTTACTGACTTCCACTGAAAGCAACACAGCAACATGACCAAAAGTAGTTCAACAACTAGGAAGAACGGACGGCCAGAGACCTCACTTTGCCTTTTAGGCAACTCTGCAGAGAACTCGGCGAAAGATAGATTCATAGGGCAAGGTTTTGGCCAAGAAATCCTTGCAATTCTCTGTGAAACAAGGAATCTAGAGCCTCACACCCCAAGGAGGTCCTATTATCTTCATACTTAACATTGGCTTAATTGCTTCTAAAATGCAATGTCCACAATTCAGGAAGAGTGGCAATAAATTGGAGGAGATCCAAGAGAAAACTAAGAGACTAACTGAGGTAAAAAAAATAAAAAAAAGAATGTCTGGTAACAAGCTTCAGAAGATCACTTATTTTTCTTAATAAGAAGAACATCAAGCAAGAAATTAATCAAAATTCATAAGAATTCATACTTGGGAAAACATGAGTTAAATGGGATTTTCAGTGTTAGAGGCTGTAGCAAGATTCATTGGCTAAAAACAAAAACTAAAGGTAACCCTCTTCCGAAATGAAATACAAATCAGCCACTTCTATACTTTACCAAGAATTGTGGACAATTTTACCTCATTGGAAATTTTTTTAACCTCCTATCGCGTAAACTTTACTTACAAACTGATTGAAAGAGTGAAAAAAAAGGGGAGGTGGGGTGTGTTATGGCCTGCATTATGAAGAGGTCAGACTGGATGATTGCAACAGTCCTTCTGACTTGATAATCTATTAATCTTATCACAGATCAGAACATACTTCCAGGCCACTTCCAGGACCAAATGCGAAGTCATCTATAGGCGCACCTATTCTGAGGGGTTATTTTTAGCCTGACACTACTACCTTTTACCTTTAAGCGTCATCGAGATCCGAACCGCAGACACATCAGGCGGGCGATAACAAAAACCTAATCACGTCGAAAAGGCTCATTTTTCTGGCAGAGTTATACCATCAAAAGGCAATCCGAAGCCAATAAGATATCCTGTATTTTTTCCCGCACTTCCCGGAACTTTACAGAACTCTCCGTGGGACTGAATCGCTCCAAACAAGTTTAAACCCAGAGGAGGCTCCTCCGCACGCCCCAGGAGAGATGTTAACCGGCCTCAGCGGGGCGAAAAAACAACGAAGCGGGGAAATAAAAGGGCGAAAGCGGCGGGGAGGGGGGGGTTGGATGCTAGCGCGGCGTCTGCCGCCGGCCCGGGGACTGCCGCCGCGGGGTGAGGCGGCCCGACGGCCCGGCATTGTGCCCGCGGGCCCGGGCAAGGCGGAGCGCTCCCCCCCGCCGCCCCCGAGCCCCGCTTCCCTCCCGGAGAGCCGGGCCAGGGACGCGTGAACTCTTGAACCCGCGCCGCAGCCCAACGCCAGTCTCCGGGGCGGAGAGCGGCGGCGGCGCGCCCTGCGCGGGGAGACCGCCCGCCCCGGTGCCCGGGGGAGCGCCGCTCCGGCCGCCCTC